CTGGCATTGCAAGTCTCGACAAAATGGGCAATGTGTTGCTTGGGGTTGCCTTTTCCGTCAAATTACTAAATCTTTTGAGGTTAGTATCATACAACATCCTCATATTGTCGATTCTCTTTGTATAGGGCATTGAGTACATGAGAGTGCTATGTGAGACGCCTCCGTATTGGGCTTGGATTGTATTCGTTATCATATCTTGAAATTGTTCGACAGATAATGAAGAGACTGGAGAAGCATGATTGGTTTGACCAGCCCCCTGTTCTGTCATAGGTGTTTGTCTGGGGTCTTCCAAGCAAGTACCTTGTGCTATAGAATTTGTAGGATTCCTATATGGCACTGTTGTGGAAATTGTAAGATTCCCAGATAATTGTGGTGATTCACAAAAGGTCAGAACTTACAACTTGTTCATCAGTGTAGCGATTTGCAAGTCCTTTTATTCAACAGTCTTTGTCAGGTTGTCAATTACTCGTGCCATTATTACAAGTTGATCATCCACCATGGCAGTTCCAGTCATCATAGCAGCGACCACATCTGAGTATGATAGACCTTGAAAGTCAATGTTCCTTGAAGTGACCGATTGCTCCGAAGTCTGACGTGGTGACTCTAGGGGTGAACCGATACTAGAGTGAACATTAGAGATCGAATGAGGTAAATCTGGTGATGGGACCTTATCTGGAACAACGCTAAGGTTCTTGACCTTTTGGACAGCAGGGGTGTTGATATGTTGAGTTTTCACGTTCGCCGACTTTGCAGGATTGGTTTTCACCAAGTCTTGCTAATGTTTAGATAACGCAATTGCCTGGGACTTGCTACATGTCACAGGGCTCACCAAGGTACTTCTATCACTTGATGCGTTCTTGGCCTTCATGCCACTTTTCATAGTTTCTTTGGCATCGACCTTTGCAATAGCGATGTTCTTTTAGGCTTTCTAGTCTATTTAATCCTTGGGGGGAGGCATGGAATCTGATAAAGCAGAGACTTAATGGCAGGAGAAAGAGATGATAGGCAAAAGATGTCCCACCGGGCGTGTCAGAAATTTGTAAACACAAATTTCGTAGTCTGTAAATAAAGAACAAAATAGGGAAACAAATAGAATTTTATTGATTTATGATAAATAAAAGGAATACAATTCTCTGTAATATTCTTTACAAAGAATAAAGTCCTCGGATTCGATCTCCTTTGTTGGTATTCAAGGGTTACACGAGCTTGATCTTAAATCACCGTGGAATTTTGATGGAGAACGGCACGATTTGATGTGCTTGTTGTTGATCACCGTGGAATTTTGATGAAAAATGGCACGATTTGATGTGCTTGTTGTTCTTCGCCTTTGGGTTTGGGTGTTGAGAATGAATGTTGGCAGAGCTTCTGTATTTCTCTCTAGAATTCTAGATTTCTAGAATTCTCAATTTATGTATCCCTTCCTCCTTCCTCCATGCCTCTATTTATAAGTTTTTTGGATTAATAGATTGATAACATGTGTCCTCTCTTGATAAGGACATAATTACAACTGGACCGGGTCGGTTATATTATGATAATTATTCATAAAAACAATTATTCCAAATATATTTTATTAGGAATAATTACCTTTTTATTTAATCACCTGGGTTGGGCTAATTAAATAATTTAAGTTAACCAAGTTTAGGCAAATTAAATAATTTAATTAAACACGAGACCCATATTTGGTGGGTCAATTTGCCAAATCAAAAGTGCATGAAATTTTAGTGTCTACAGGGTTTAATCCGTATAACCCGTTTATACTCATTTAACTTAACATGTCATAATCATGAATACAACCTATATAATATATTACCTGTTTAAACCCAATTACTATGGACAATTAAGTCATTTTAACATAAACCTTGATTACGTCTTATGATTTTTCTTCTTATTTAACTATTTGAGTTAATTGTGACAAATTTTTTCTAGTATTTATTATTTGATTAAATATTAAATGTCTCGTTTTGATAAACAGGTCATTAAACGGGTCAACAAGTTAACCCGTTTAATAAATTGATCGGGTTAGTGTTGAGGGTTCCTGACACAATTATTAAATGGGTTGGATTTGGATTTACCTATTTAGTAGAATACTCTTACTTCGACACGACACGATTATAACTCACGAACACGAATTGCCACCCCTATGAAAATCACATCCTTTTGCTTTTGTCTTTTCCTTTCTTCATCGCTTCTAATCATTCTCAGAGCATCTCCAACGGTTGTGTGTGTGTATATACATATATATATATATGTATAAATATGATATGTCATAGTAAATTCACATAAAAATTTTAGATTACTCATTTTTAGCTCCAGCCATTATTTTATACATTTGGTGTAAAAATGTATTTGCTAATAATAACCAATCAGTCCCCAAGGGCATAGCAGCGTTGGCAGGGATCCGGAAGGTAAGTCCTTAAGGTCTCGCTTTAGAATCGCACTCCTGACTTGAATGGTGCGTGTATTATAGGACGATACACGTGCTCTAAGGAAAATAAATAAATAAATAACAACCAATCACGTGACACCACATAACATTTACAAAATTACTTAGTATATAGTTGATTTATTAATGGAATGAGAAAGAGGAAGGAGAAAGGAAATATGCTGATGTGGCTGTGTAAAAGAGTTGTGCAAAATACACAACAATTTTTACACATTTAGGAGGTGGCAATATATCTTAAGAGCATCTCCAACGGTTGCGTGTGTGTATATATATATAAATTTTTTGTGTAAATCTGATGTGTTATAATAAATTTACACAAAAAATTTAGACTACTCATTTTTAGCTCTAACCATTATTTTATATCTTTTGTGTAAAAATGTATCTACCAATCACAATCAATTACGTGTCATGCTCAAGACTCCACATAACTTTTGCAAACCTACTTAATATAGGGTTGATTTATTAATGGAATGAGAAAGAGAGAAAAGAAATGAAATATACTGATGTGGCTGTTTAAAAGGGTTGTGCAAAATACACAATAATTTTACACATTGGTGAGGTGGCAATGTATCTTAATATACTGGTGGAGATAAAAAATAAAAAAAAAATTACACATTATGTATATTTTACACAAAAGAATTTTTTAACATACTGCTAGAGATGCTCTTCATATGGCTAGAGATAAAAAATAATAATAATAATAAAATTACACATTATGTATATTTTACACAAAAAAAATTTTAACATACTGCTGGAGATGCTCTCACTTCCCTTTTATTAGAGAAAAGAATCAAAAGATCTCCAAGATTTAGAATCATTTGTGTAATGGGACTCCCATAGAAAAATTTTGATGTAAGTTTTTGTTAAAAAAAATATAAATAATAAAAAAAAATGAATAATTTTGATGTAAAACATATTTTTCACATATCTTGAGTTATATGTATTAGAATTTATAAAGTGTAGGGTTACATAAACTTAATTATAAACTTCTTTCCTAATTCTAATTCAACAGCATAATTTTTTTTATTTTTTATTTTTTTTGACACAACAACATAATAATAATAATAAGGTGCACACAAGATAAATTGAAGCTGGAAAATTTGTTGAATTTTTTTGAGTTACTTTTAAGGAATTTTTTATGATTATTGTCTACCGTACAAACTTTAAGTTTAATTTAGATGAAAAAATGATTACACACTCAAAATTTTTGGTGATAAATGTGATGGTGACCAAAGTTTCTAAGAAAGCAATCCAAACCAATTTTACTCATTAAATTTACTGTCTACTCGTACATACTTTAAGTTTAAACCATTTAAAGCCTAATTCTATAGATTTTGGACAGCAATTTTTTTGAGTTAATGATGAAGTCTTTATAAGCATTTTTTTCTTAAATAAGATATGTAATTTCATTCTCTTAAAACAAGTTTGACCTAAGTCACATAAAACGGGAGTTAGAGCGAGAGCGAATTCGAGAGCTGGAGCACAAAAACTGCAAAATTAAGTCGCAAATAGTGATAATTTGAGCGAAAGTGCGCGTGGAACACTCTCTAAACATGAGAGCGACACCTTTTGTGAAGGATTTTGTGACTTATGTTTGACCCTTAATGAAAGTTCAAATTGCTCCAATTATTTTTTTACTCTTGCTTCTTCTAATATAGTTTGTATTCCTCCTAATTTTCCATCAAAGCTAGTTTAATCTGGCTTTACCATTTTATAAACAAAATCAAAATCATATTTCGCAGAATTTCTTTTAAATTCATGTATTACATGATCCAATATCTAAAAACTGACATTAGAAGTTTTATTTTTGGAAATTTTTCTAGGAGTTGAAAATCTGTATTTTCATGTTACACAGTGCCTCTGTTCCAGTGTAATGATGGACTTGAAAAAATGTGAAATTCTTGAATAGTCTACTTCCCTTCTAATAATGAATCCCCTTAATTAAAATTATAGGAGTACTTTGAAATTCATAACGTATTTAATTCCCTTCCATTCAATCTTTTAGGTCCTGACTTAACCTCGACGGTTATGCCACAGAGTTCTCTTTTTCTGACTTGACTGACTTGCACCTCTCTCTCTCTCAATTTGCAATCCCTCTGTTCTCTCTTATCTCACTGTCTCACCATCTCTCTCTCTGTTCTACTGAATCGATCTTCCCTTTCTCTTCATCTAATTTATTTCTGTTGGATCAAACTTAATTGGTGCATTTGGAATTGGAATATTATGCCAGAGGTATGTCTTTAAATTAATCTCTTCTTTGGTTTCCTCTCTGTTCTACAACAACAACAGTAGAACACTTCACCTTTCTGTTTTTCTGGTGCTTTCATTTCCTGCTTTGTATTTTGCTCTCTCTCTCTCTCTTCACTTTTCTTTCCCAAAAAAAAAAAAAAAACTTCACTTTTGTTTGTCATTTAAAATCAAACTCTGTGTATTTGTCTTGAAGTCTCTTTCTTTAATTTCTTAGCTTTCTCTTTGTTAAAGCTTCCTGTATTTCTGTTTCCATATATTTCCTTGTACATCTCCTGAGAGAGAGAAAATAAAAAGAAAGCGATTAAAAATGGGAGTGATTAGTAAAATTGTGGAAAAGATGATAGAGCCCATCATAGGCCGCTTGTACGCATCCATCGGCCGTCAATTTGGTTATTTGCTTCACTGCAAGCAAAACATTGAGGAATTTCATGTTGAAGTTGACAAACTCAGAGATGCCATGGAAATACTCCAGGAAAAGGTCAATCAAGCCGAAAACAATGGTGAAGTCGTTGAGAAAAATGTCTCCAAGTGGCTTGATAAAGTGCACACCAAATTGGCGACCATGGAAGAAGTCAGCAACAGATTACAACAAGGCACAGAAGATCTTAAGTGTGTTGATGTATGCTCACGCTACCGGTTGGGAAAGGAAGGAAAAAAGAAGAAGAATATTGTAACCAAGCTTATGGAGGAGGGAAAATTTGACACTGTTGCACATCGACCTCCTCTAACTGGTATTTGGCGCTCAAACAGCATGAAGTACGAGTGTTTTGAATCCAGAGAGACGGTTTTTAAGCAGATCATGGAGGCACTAAAAGATGATAGCAATTACAAGATTGGGATACACGGAATGCCGGGAGTTGGAAAAACGAGAATGATGAAAGAAGTTGCCCGACAAGCTGAAAATGATAAGCTCTTTGATGAGATTGTTCAAGTAGTTGTCACCCAGAAACCAAATTTAAAAGAAATTCAACAAAAACTTGCGGAAGTTTTGAATCAAAAATTAGAAGAAGACACTGTAGATGCAAGAAAGGGGCGGCTACACTGTAGACTGAAAAATGGTAAAAAGATCCTTGTACTGGTGGATGACATTTGGGATGATCAAATTAAGTTGGAGGACATTGGAATTCCAGCTACAAATGATCATTTCAGGGGTTGCAAGATTTTGTTAACCTCTCGGAGTAGAGATGTGTGCAAAGAGATGGGTGTTCAGGAAAAAGATAACTTTCAAATTGGAGTCTTATTGGAAGTTGAAGCATGGTCCCTATTTAAGAAGAAGGTGGGAGATTCTTTTGAAACTCATGAAATGCGATCTATAGCGGAAGAAGTGTGTAGAGAATGTGCATGTTTGCCATTGGCAATACTTGCAGTTGGTGGAGCACTACAGAATAAGAGTAAGCAGATATGGAAAGATGCACTAACACAACTAAGAAATTGTAGGGCAGATAACATTGGTGGATTGCAGGGAAAACTCTATTCACGCATAGAGTTGAGCTACAACTATCTGGAGTCTGTTGATGCAAAGTCAATTTTTTTGCTTTGTTGTTTGTTCGGAGAAGATGCTGAGATTTTCATTGATGATTTGGTGATGCATGGCGTTGGATTGAGACTTCTCCGAGGCGTGGATACAATGGAAGAAGCAAGGAATAGAGTTCATGCAATCGTCGATACCCTAAAGATATCTTCTTTGTTGTTAGAAGGTGGAAGTGAAAACTTCGTGAAAATGTATGATATCATTCGAGATGTTGCCATTTCGATTGCATCAAAAGGGGAAGATGCCATGTTTCTAGTGAAAGCCGGTGTTGACAAGTGGCCGGACGATGATGAATACAAAAGATGCAGAGCAACCTCATTACGGTTGAACAAGGATTGTGTGCTTCCCAGTGATTTAGAATACCCAAATGTTGAGTTACTGCCCATCAATGAGCTCCTGTCTAAGTCTTTAATCAGATTTCAAATATCCATTGGCCAGAAGTTTAGTGTTTTTGACTTTGGTTCCGGAAATAATTCGGCGACAGGGATATTGAAACTAATGGGAATTCCTTTGAAGAGGGAGCTTCACATTTTGATGGAGAAAGCTGAAGTGCTCCATTTACAAAAACTGGAAATTTTAAAGAATGTGAGTCAAGACACAGATGGAGAGGGGTTTCTAGACTTGAAGTATGTTGGAGTTAGGGATTGTAAGGGGATAGAACATTTATTTGGCAGACCAAATTGGAATTCACAGACCATCAGATCAGGTGTGTCTTGTTCTTTTAGTAAATTAAGTATTTTAGAAGTAATAAACTGTCCATCGAGATATCTGTTCTCCGCAGCCGCAGCAAGAGGCCTTCTGCAACTCCAAGAATTAAGTATAAGTAAGTGTGAAATCTTGGAAGAAATAGTTGGAGATGAAATCATGGATACAGTTACTTTTCGTCAATTAAAGAAAATGGAGTTGTGGGGTCTACCAAAACTGAGAAGCTTCAATGCCAATACGAAGAAGACGTCAGCTGAAGAATGCAATGTTTCCGGCCTTGCACAACTCTTTAATGATAAGGTATGCTAGACATTATCTATCCACATTCCACACTTACCAAACAAACATTGGTCATCATAACTAAACAAGCATTGAAATTTATTAATATCTATTCTGCCTTCGCCGTTCAAATTTTTTTTTTTTTTTTTAATCATGAGAATTGAATTTGGTTAGACAACTAGGGGTTGATTGGTATTGAATTTTCCAGACCCATATCACATCTCAATTTCTTTTTATTTATTTTTTATGTTTTCTTGTTTTTGTTAAAACTTAACTTATCACACCCGAAATTTTTCATTAAGATGAATTGAACCGTTTGAATATACAATCGTTTTTTTCCCTAAATGGAGGAAAATTTTCATTAATATAAACAATATGATACAAAAACATCATAGGGGCATACCCCTATTCCAACCATCCCATAAGGGAAACAAAGAAGCAACCTTGAAGAAAACCTAAACTAGGAAAACATCAAGATAACATCTTGCAAACATATGCCTAGAATATCAAGAACCTCGCATATAATGCATTTAGCCACCTCCTTTGGACTAGAAGACTTAGTCATTGTGTGGCCTATCATTCCTTTCCTTCCAAATGAAATACAGAGTAGCTGTAAAAACCAACTTGCAAAATTTGTTTCTGATATTGTTCACCCTAAACCTCTGGACAAAATCTTCAGCCATTCCTTGTAGTGTCAGTGGCTAACAGCCGCTAATTCCAGCCATACCTGCCTAGTAAAATCACAGCGGCAAAACAAACGATCACCATTTTCATTCTTCTTGTAGCACAACCAACGTCTGGATGCTAGACTCGCACCCCTCTTTCAAAGATAGGCACTTGAGAGAATACCATTCTGTAACACCAACACTGAATGAGAAGACCATCTAGGCCTTCCCCCATTCCAACACAGATCAGCCCAGAAAACTTCATTTCTTCTGGTCCTACAAGCATTCCATGCAGCCTTAAATGTGAATTCCTTGGACTGCCACTCTATTCTATCCTCACCGCCCATAATGTGGAACTGCCCAATAAATTGCAGAAGCCCATTGGTTATATTATCAAACATACTCCCATCCCAACTACCAGCAAATAAAATTATAACAACTTGAAATCTAAAATATATTAAAAAGTAATAAAATAACTATTTGATTTACAAACTCTTACCAAATGGATCTTCACATTATTTCGTATAAAGTGCTCTAAAGTGTCTTTTTCAATTTTTCAAATTTTTTTTTTTTTTTTTACTTCACTTTCCCACGTCTTTTGACCCGAGAATAGAGAACAAAGTTCAATGGGCACCTTTTTTGCTCATGACATTAACTATCTTCAACAATTTTTTTTTTGGCTCTGCACAAATACAACACATAAGATATTGTTGATAAGTGAAAAAATATTTTAATGTTTTTTTTTTTGGGAATATTTTAATATTTATACTAGAGAAAACTTATCAGGAATCTATTAATAAAAGGAAATTTAAAATTCAACTCTCTTAAAATTACTAAAAATAGAAGGAAAAAAAAATGCAAAATTAACTCTCGTAATATGATTTGGATGGCTGGTTTTATTATCTTGATATACTTTTTTGTACAATTTTAATTAAATTATGAATTTCATTTTTTTTCTTAAAACAATATAATTATGTATTTAAATCCTTCAATTGTGTAAGCTTTTTCTATTCCTGTGTTTTGTTGAAGCTTGTTACTTACAAATTCTTTCAATAAACTAAACGTATCAACACTATGACAGTTTTTTGAAGTACAATATTTCTTTTTTTAAATGTGATTTCAGATCATCAACACTAATAAATATGTTAAGTGCAATAATCTTAAAACGTCTAACTCATAAATTTTTGAAGTACAATAAATGAAAAGCATCCTTGATTTCATATCTTTTCATTTCAATTGAATTATCACATTCTAGCAAGTCTAATATCTATTCTAACTTTTTTTTTACCTTATGCTATTTTTCCAACATTAATTCATGAAATGTGATGTAATAAAATTTGCAGGTTAGGTTCCCAGCTTTGGAGGAATTGGAGATTAAAAATTTGGAAAGCCTCACGGCGATATGGAACAACCAATTATTCCCAAGTCCGGAAGCAAAAGATTCCTTCCGGCAGCTGAGGCTCATTCAAGTGTACAAGTGTGAGAAGCTAGTAAATGTCATTCCACCCAATGTACTCCCGTTGTTACAGAACCTTGAAAGTCTCAAAGTTGATTCATGTGATTCAATTGTATCTGGAGTTGAAGTGGTTGCAGTTGAAGAAGGTACTGATGAGATCACCATGTTTCCTCGATTAAAGACTATGACAGTTGTAAACTTACGAAACCTCATTAGTTTCTTCTGCAGTGGAGGATCCAAAGAAGAAGCCAGTGAAAAGTTCCTTGTGTTCCCTCAATTAAACAAAATGAAACTTTTTAGGTTGCCAAAATTCAGTAGTTTCTGCTGCTTCAAAAATGAAAATGAAAGCATACTAAAGGAAAATTTTCCCCAACGACAAGCTCTCTTCGACCACAAGGTACGTACGTGCCTGTGTCTTTAATTAATCCTAATTAACCTTGGGTGCACTGAACAACTGAAATTAATGAAATCAGTGATAAATGTTTTGCAGGTTAAATTTCCTTGCTTGGAGAAGTTGTTTATTGAGGGAATGAACAACTATAGGTGTCTCAAGCTATTAAATGTTGCTTCAACACAATCACTTACAAGTTTCCAGAACCTAAAAGAGCTCCGTGTGAAAGAGTGCGACTCCCTGCAAGAGGTATTTAAAGTTGAAGGGTCAAAGGGAGCAGAAGGAACGGTTGCAAGCGATAAAGCTATGGGAAAAGAAGTGGAGAACAATCTTGTGTTCCCTCGATTAAATGAAGTGGTCTTTGAAGACCTACCGTCCCTGACAAGCTTTTGTGGGAGGAATTGCATTTCTGAATTGCCATCCGGAATAAGAATAACAATAGAATGTTGTCCCAAATTGAAGATGTTTCCTTGCCGATACCTGAACAGTAGTGAACCATTGCGGAACCTGAATATTCTGGAGATAAATACAGTGGATGCCCCCATACAAACATTGCCAAATGAAATGGTAAGTCCATTAATTCCTATTTCAGTTATGAGGAAACCATTATTCCAATTTTCTCTGGTGTTATTGAAAATTTGCATACCAATTAAAAGTCAAAACTAGAAAGAGCCTCAAATGAATGCCACTAGCTGTGAGCAGGAAAGGGGGATTTCTTGCCAACAACCCAATATGCAATTATATACTCCTATCATGGATTTCTGCTCGACAAAAAATTAATTAATTAATTTCTGCTTGCAGGTTGAATTTCCTATCATGGATAGATTGATGCTCAGTGATGAGAGCATGTCCGAAGGTACTTGCCATGTCCATCCCTTTTGCAAAGTAAGATCCCTGGAGGTACGCAACTGCAGCAACTTAGTAAATGTTTCTACCCTGCTACAACGGTTTGAGATTATCCAAATGCTCACTCTACAATCTTGTTACTCATTGGAGGTTATCTTCAACCTTGAAGGACTTCCGGTGTTTCACAGCCTAACATATTTGACAGTTCAAAGATGCAACAGGCTGACATATCTATTCTCACTCTCAATAGCAAGAAGTCTCACACAACTTAGAGATCTAAGCATTGTCGATTGTGCTATGATGGAAGAAATACTTAAAAATGGAGGAGGAGAAGATGCCACCAATGAAATTGTCTTCTCTCAGCTAGGGTATCTGAAACTTTCATATCTATCAAACCTCACATGTTTTTGTCTGGCAAACAGTGCTTTTAAATTCCCATCCTTGACGACTGTTTATTGATACGAATGTCCGAAATTGAAGACTTTCACATTTGGATACTTAAGCACACCGGATATACAAGTAACTAGTGGTTCAACGTCAAGTCGTGTAAGTGACCTTAATAATTATGTGCAGCAATCTGCCAAAGGAAAGGTAACTACGAACACCTTCCTTTGTCCTTACTACAAGATATCACTTAGCTAATGATTTTCATTTAATCCGTTCACCTTCTGTTTAATTCAGGAACTAGCGGTGGAGGATAATGATGAAGATGAAGATGAAATTCTGCTAAATCAGTAAATAAGATTACACAAACACCCATTTAGGACTTGAATTTGCAGAAGTAGAGGTTATAAGTTGGATCCAATGGAGCAGTTGCCCCACTCAACATATTTCATTTATTTTGATTTTCATTTTCCAACTATATTATTATGTAATTGTAAATATGTCCACTCTCAAAATGTTCAGAAAAAATACCTAGATTTTAACTATTCATAATTGTTTCTATTCACAGTTTTAGATTTACTCAGTCTCAAAAAGCATTAACAAGTATCTCTCCCATAATTCAAAGCAAGTTCATCCCTTCTACTTGGTCTGTCTCTCTTTTACTCTCAATTTCTCTCCATGGCAAACGTGGAAAGAAGAAGAAATTTTGAAGTCTTCTAGCTTTTAGTCAATTTGTTGACCCTAAGCCAATGCAAAAGAAATCCTAATCCCTCTTTTCACCGATTGTTGCTCCTTTTGCAAAAATGAAATTTCCTAAAGAAAGGGAAAAAAGAGAGTAGAATTTTGTTTATGATAAAACGAGGTAATCGATGCAGACAATTAATTATAAATGTGTCAGTAAAATATTATGTATTAATATTTTAGTTTTTGTTTATATTATTTTTGTTAAGTTTCCTATTATATATATTCGCATAATCCATTCTTGTAATATAGTGGTTAGGTTAACCTGTAAAACGAAATTAAAAGTTTTATTTATTTATTTATTGTTAATACAGTAGACACGAAATCTAATTAATTCAATAAGGTAAAGATTAATTTTTAATTACATTTTTTATTTTAATGGTGACTTGTTTATTATTGGTGACTTATTTTATTAAAAATTTATTTATTTTATTTTGGGGTTAATTTCACAGACACCCCTTAGGTTTGGCCAAATATCACGTTGAAACACTTTTTGAAATTTACTATCACTCACGTTACACATATTCGGTCCGTTTTTAACTCACAACCCAAACGTCACTTTTAAATGGTGTCAGATCACTTTGACATGTAAAATGATATTACTACTCTTTTGACATTGTGTTGACTTACCCAAAAAAAAAAATTCATGTATAAAATGACTTAACTGCCCCTAGAATGTATTTGACCATTTGGGGTTACGAAACTTCATATACCTTAAAGTTCATATGATCGGTTTGATGATCCATATGGCAAGTTGTTAGCAAAATTTAAAATTTTTAATTTGTAAAGTAAAAAATTGTAAAAGGATTTTTTTTTTCCCCCGGTAATAACAAAGCAAACAAGCACAACAACCACCACCCAACACCCCAAACAAAAACTAAGAAGCAATAACCAAAGCATCACGCGCAGCAAGAGCCACAATCCGAGGAGGAATAGGATCCAACACCCTGTCTGCTCCTACACAATAACGAGATACTTCAACAAGGGCATGAGCCACCCGGTTACCTAATCGTCGAACGTGAGATAAGGAGCTCATAATAAATGCCTGAAGCTCCACTTTAATATCAAAACAAATAAACGCAATTTCAGTAGGACAAACTGCACTAGCACCCACAACATCAACAACTATTTTTTGCATCAGATTCAAAGCACAAATATAGGTATCCAAGAGAACAGGCCCAAAAAATAGCTCACCGAAAAGCAAAAACCTCAGCCACCATTGACGATAATGAAATGAAAGGTGAAAACACCACCGCATGAAGAATAGTTCCATGAGAATCACAAAACACTACACCACCTCCTCCTAAAAAAGAACCCTTAAGAAAACTAGCATCAAAATTACATTTAATCAACTCTTGCGGAGGAGGCAACCAGTAGTCAAAAGAAGACAAAGAAAATCCCCTATCCAGTTTTTTGCATTGAAATTGAGCCTCCTGAAATTCGCAAAATCTCTCGATAGCCTTGGCAACCACCTTCCTTGGGTTCCACATCTCACCCTCAAACACCTTGCGATTCCTAGCCTTCCATATGCTCCAAGCACAAAAAGATACAAAGCCCTAAACAACGTTTTTATCAGGCAAAAAAGCAATTTGGGTCACCAAATGACACCAACCATCCAAAAAAAGACTGAAAGGTGGCAGATGAAGAATCAAATCTAAGAGGGGACAATTCCCATACCTGTATAGAATGCGGACATGTGAAGAAAAGATGCACAATAGATTCCTCTTCCAATCCACACCGTTGGCACAGAGGAGACACCACGCATCCTCGATGCATGAGCAATGAGCCAGTAGGCCATGGCAACATCGCCACAGTAAGTGCTGCACCTTGGAGAGAGTTTTGCATCGCCAAACTTAATGCCAAGAAAAACTATCCATTCGAGCAACAGAGGTATCAAAAATAGAAACAACAAGATAATAAGCATATCTGACGGAGAAATTTCCTGTAAACTCAGACGCCCAAATTTGAACATCTAGTTTGTCCCAATGACTGAAATATTTTCGAGATATTGCTTGAACTTCATGAATTGGAAATAGTTGTTGCAAGACATCCAATTTCCAGGCTTTAGTATGTTGATCAATCAAATCAGCTACATAACAAAAGAAGAATTCACTAATGGAGGTGTTAATTTATGAGGAAACTCAAGGACCCAATGATCATTCCAAATATGTATAGATTTTCCATTTCCAATCAGCCACCTCAATCCTCTATTCAAAAGGGCTTGGGTTGACTATATACTTCGCAACCCCCAGGAAGGATTTGAACCTAAGGATGCCTTCAAAAACAAGCACGAGCGAAAATATTTGCCTTAACTTATATGCTAAACCTTCCTTTAGGACTTGGAAATTCCAAGCATGCTTAGCTAAAAGAACCAAATTGAAAGCCTCAAGTTCTCTGAAACCTAGCCCCCCCCCCCCCCCCCCCATACTTCTTACTCTGACATAAAGAAGCCCAGTTTATCTAGTGAACGGATCAAGACTGTTCTTTTTTGCACCACCAGAAAGTCCGAATTTGTTGCATCAATTCAAGATGCAAATGACGTGGGAGCTTGAATGAAGATATCACATACTTGGTAAGGCATTCAACACGGCCTTAATCAACACTTCTTTTCCACCAGCAACGTGTTTACCTTCCAAGAAGCTAACCGCTCTTGCATTTGAGATAAAATAAACTGAAAAACATCGCACTTTGATCGACCAATGATAGCCGGCACACCTAAATATCGAGCACGAAATCCTTCCTCCTGGAGACCCAACAAGTGGCTTAGGAATCTTCGCAAGGAATGTGGAGCATTTTTTGAGAAAAAAATAGAGGATTTATCAAAATTCACTTGTTATCCAGATGCCCGCTCGTAATTGGCCAAATTTTCTTCAAAGTAAGGACTTTAGATTCCGCTGCCGCACAAAAAACAAAGGAGTCATCCGCAAAAAAAAGATGAGAAATTGAAGGTGCAGCCCTACAAATTTGTATCCCTGTCAAAAGTCATGCTTGTTGCATCTGAATAATAGCCAAAACGCTTCAACACAAATTATAAATAAATATAGGGAGAGCGGATCACCCTATCGCAAACCACGAGTAGGATGAAAAAAAACCAATTGAGTTCGCATTGATTTTAATAGAATAAGTAACTGTAGTCACGCAAGTAGAAAAAAGCTTTAACCAATGAGAATTTAGCCCCAGCCTGTGAAGCATTTGAAACAAAAACGTCCATTCAATACAATCATAAGCCTTACTCATATCAAGTTTCAGTGCCATGTAAGTTTTCAACCCCTTCCTCTTATTCTTTAAATAATGCAGAATTTTATGAGTGATAAGTATGTTATCCATTATGTGTTGACCTACAACAAAAGCACTTTGGGATCCACCGATAAGGAACCTGGTCGTGTCGCGGCGACCAACGCTTAAAATTTGTGTAAAGAGTGTGAATATGCAATGTAGCCAAGTTTTAAATTTATAAAAGCCACTACTACCTCTAACTAAAAATATAGCTAGGGTGAGTAGGGATCGTCCCAAGGGATTATAGGTGAACTTGAAATGGAAACAAGGTAGGGTTAGTAGGTCGAGTGATCAAAATGTGGTTTGTTTGGTTAATTAACTACAATGCAATTCAAATTAAAGCAAGCTAAAAGTAACAATTTAGAATGTAGGGAAAAATATATAGAGGAGAGGACTTGGGGTACTAGAGCTCACCACTAAGCTTGACTTCACTAGACACTAGCAATTGTACATTAATGGGGAAATTGAATTGTAACTTGTGTGTGTGTGTGTGTGTGTGTGTGTGTGTGTGTGTGTATGACATTAATTGAAACTAAGTATAGAAGGAAAATAAGTATAGATTGTCTAGCCAATTCAAATGGAAAGCACAACCTATCAAATGAGACCAAAATTCATTCAATGAATCCATAATTTATGCACACACAACTATCTAGAAATATACACCTTTTGCATTCATAAGTATGGAACACCAAGGAACAAGAATAAATTGTCCACCCATCTATAAATCTAAAGCAACTACACTACATCTACACTAAAGACATGGAAATTAAACTAAGTAAGCTAAAGGTGTGGCACAATCCATCAAGAAACAAGTGTGAACCATCAAATAAATTACAAAAGTGTTTAATTAAGCACCATATTTTGACCATCTCTAGATTAACTTCATCCATACACATAAACATGCAAAAACTCTACTAGATCTAAAGAAAAGCACATGAATCATCCATTCTAGCATACATAGACATATGGTTAGAAATAGATAATCAATTGAAAGCATAAATCCATACACATCAAGTAGAAACCACAAGATATATATAAATCTAAGATCAAAACATTTGTTACAAGAAAATCCCCAAAAATATACAAAACACTGAGTCTAGGAAGCAAACTTAGGAGCTACTCTAGCCCCAAGTAGATGTCTAACCACTCATTGAAGTAGTCATCCAACCCTCAAGGGTTATCTCCATAGTAGGCATAACCTCCTTCTTGATGGAAACCCTAGAAGAATGGAAAAACTCCCAAAGATGTGTAAAAGCTCTCTAGTCTCTAGCCTCCTCTCCAGAATATGTGAAATGTAAGATATGATGAATGTTATCAATTGTTACTCTTAAAATGGC